GGGGGGGCGTGGGAGGTAGTGGTTAGAGCAGAGGAGGGGCTGGCTTGGGGCCAGGACTCCTGGGTTCTGTCCCTGCCTCTGGGAGGGAAGTGGGGTCTAGTGGGGAGAGCAGGGAGGATGGGGGCCAGGACTCCTGGGTTCTGTGCACAGCACCACCACTGACTTGCAGGGGACTGTGCAAGTCTCTACTATACACTGAGGTTTAAAACCTTCAGCTTCACCCATCACCCCGTAACTGATGTATTGCATGGGAAAGGCCCCCCTACTCTGCAACTCCCCCTGGGGACAGGAATCCCCCTCCCTCAGCCCTGAATCTCCAGTGGCTGCTGCTCTCCCCTGTCTGGGGAACCCCCCAGTAACTCCATCCCCATTCCCCAGCTGGGCGCCCCCTCTGCTGGGCCCAGGGCTCAGGGCAGAGCCTGGCTCTGAGCGTCCCATCGGTGCAGAGAACCTGTGGGGATCTGGCTGGGTGTGAGGCTGGGAGCCGGGACACTGAGCCGGGCCCCTCCCTCACCTCCTACAATGATCTCGACGGGGTCGCTGGGATACGAAAAGCGATTCTTTGTGTTATGGTGCGATATTCGCAGGTGTAGCTCCCTCCATCATCCCAGCCGACACTGGCGATGGGAAATTCAGCCACGGTCCCATCAGGCACCGTCCGCACCTGCCGGTTCGGGTGTCCAGCTTTACGCAGAAAGAACTCCATGTCCGGGTACCGACCCTCACAGCGGATGGTGACGCTTCCCCCGAGCGCCACCACCCTGCTGGGGCTCACCGAGATGGTTGGTTTGGGAAATTCACATCCTGCTTTCAACAAGAGACAGGAGTTCAACAGGGGAGACACAGCCCCCACCTCCCCCCACCCCAATTCAGTCCATCCGTCATTCGGCCTTGGGGGGGGGGGGGGCTCATTGAATCAGGACATTGAACCAGGGGATGGTTCCTGGCTGCTTCGTCGGACCACGGTAGCCAGATTCGGCTCCTAATTACTCCATGGTGTGGGGGGTGGGCACAGAAGAATGGGGCCGGGTTTGAGCTCACAGGGGGAGTTTGGGTTGAGTTCCGGGGAAGGTTCAGGGCTCAGTTTCTCTTCCTCCCCCCGATCCCGGACCCATTCTGATGTTAATATCCTCCCCACAGACTGATACTCACCTCCCAACACCCAGCTGTGCCCGGCCAGAGAGCAGCCTGAAAAGGAAATTGGTGTTAGGGACCAGATCCCAGAGCACCTGGATCCTACACCCTGGTCCCACATCCCCCCAATGGACACAAGCCCTGGTCTCAGATCCCACCTTATGGGCACACGCCCTGGCTGTCTCCAATACTCACCGAGGAGGAGGGCGGTGAGAGCAGACGCCATGATGGGGCAGTGGGGGCCCCTCAGCGCTGCCACTAACACCCTGGTGCTGAGCTCCACCCAGCCTGAGGCCCGAGTGCGAGGAGAATGAGGAACTGCACTGGGGGCTGCAGCCCCAGGAAGCCCGTGATGCTCTCGGCCCCTTTCTTCCCATCAGATGGTTTCTCTGCAATCTCCAGCCCAAATCTACTGTGGTCAGAGCAAAGCCAGATCCCTGCCATGCCCAGCAAACCACATTGCCTCCTGCAGCTGCCCCGCCTCCACCCCATCACCTCCGAGTCCCACATGGGAGCTGCCCAGTCCGGGGACTAGCTGGGAATGAGGCAATCTCAGGAGGCCTCAAGAGGTGCCCAGCTGCCCTGACCTTTTCCAACAGGCCCGTCTAGCCTCCCTGGAGCAGCAGCTCAGAGTAGAGGAGGGCTCTCTCTTCTCCCCACTCCCTAAAGTAGCATCCCTCTCCCATGAAGTGGGACAGAGATTCCTTCCTGACACGGTTGGGCCCAGCGCCCGCCCTGGAGCATGAGGGTGGAGGGACCTGGCCAATCTCCTTCCCAGGTAGTGTTGCTGCAGAATCTATTTTTAGCCAAGTGATGTGGCACAGAGACAGGACTGGGGCCTGGGAGAGTGGTGGTTTCTGGCCCCCGTGAGGGTGCGAGAAATGGGTAGATTTAGATCCTGAGTTGTTAAAGGAAAAGCCGTAAAATCCGCGAAAGGGGAAGTCTGCCCAAAGCCGGCGCTCACTTCCTGTTTCTGCTACTGCCAGTGAAACTCTGTAAACCTGATGCCCGGCATCTACCCTGTTTATATACCCCAGTTTTGGGAGGGGAATGGGGTCTACTGATTGTTGGGGGGGGGCTGGGAGCCAGGACTCCTGGGTTCTCTCCTAGCTCTGATTGGGGCCCGGGGGTGGGGTCTAGTGGTTAGAGAAAAGGACACAGATTAGAGCCAGCCCCCTAGAGGTGAAAGGCCCCGTGTCCCTTCCCCATCCCATCCCCGGGGCCGTGGGACTGCGCAGCTCAGGGCCCGGGGCAGAGCTCACAGGGGTCGATGGCTGAGCCAAGTTCCCCCCTCCCTCAGCCCAGAACCTCCAGCGGCTGCTGCTCTCCCTTGGCTGGGGAACCTCCAGTGACTCCTTCCTGGTCCCCTTGCAGGCTTCCCCTCTGCTGGGCCCAGGGCTCAGAGCAGAGCCTGGCTCTGAGCGTCCCACTGGGGCCAGGACCCCCTGAGGGCCCAGCTGTGGGGCTGGGAGCGGGGACGGGCAGGTCCCATTTGGTGCTATATTGGCAGCTGTAGATCCCGGTGTCTCTCTAGCTCATGTTGAGGATGGGAAACTCAGCCACGTCCCCTGCGTTAGGTCCATCGAGCGCCGTGCAGCCGGGTCTCCAACTTTACTCAGAAGGACCCTCGCTCCGTGACACCGACACTCACACCGGACGGTCACGGCTCTCCCACTGGGTGCAGGGAGATGCTGGGTTTGGGCTCTGCAGGCAGAAGGAGACAGGCTGGTCACTGCGCCCTGTCCACACAGCCCAGCCCCAGTGACAAGGCCGATACAGGGGCCTGCAGGGAGAGTCTCCTGGATGCTTTTCCCCTGAATCCAAGACCGAGAGAGCTGGGCTAGTGACACAAGAGACAAGCTCTAGGTTCCCTTCGCGGTTTCTCTGTTTTCAGCTTCTGTATGTCCCGACTTTGCAGGCAAATTTCTTAAGCTGGTTCATTCTGTCTTGAGCCATCCTCTTGTGGCATCTTTGTTTGCTGTTCTGAGCAGAGTGACCAGACGTCCCGATTTTATAGGGACAGTCCCGATATTTGTGTTGCTGCACCTGAAGGTGCTGTGCGGTCCTGCGGACGTTTTGTCCGTACTATTTGCTTTACTTTTGCTCCAGCTCACCTCCTCCACATCTCTTCAGCCCGTTTCTCTTTGCTCACAGCTGGTTTCTGTCACGTTTCATTCGTGTTTTACGTCTCTTGCAGTTTTCTAACAATTTCTTTGGTAACTTAGAGACTCTTTTTTCTTCTTGTTTCACTGCCCGGTTCTTCCTCTAACTTTCCCCCTCATGCCTCTGTCTTTCCTCTGTCTGCCTCCTCCTGTTCCTGCCATCTCTGTACCTTCTCAAGGGGACTTTCTCCCTGCCAGCTCCCTGCCTGGCCCCTTCAATGACACAGCTCGGCCACTGGGTCCTTAGCCACTGGCTCCCCGCTCACTGGGTCCCTGCATTTCTGGTGCCGGTTGTTACCTCTCTGGCTGCTGGTGTCTCTCTTGCAGCGCTGGGCAGCCTCCCTCCAAACTGTACCAGACATTTCCGCTGGGAGGATCCGGGGTGCGCGGGAACGTGGAGGAGGAAGGGGTGCGGGGAATGGGAGCTGCTGTCCCCTGCTGTTTTCTTTCTCCTACCAGAAAAAAAATACCATCCTGGGCTTGAGCTCCCCCCACTTCTGCTGCCCGGGAATCCTTGGGGGTCTCCCCAGAGCTGTTGTTTCCAGACTGCTTCTGAGCAGCCAACGTGTGCAGCTCCCACTGCTCTTTAACCCGACAGCCCCCAGCCCGGGTGAGCATCACACAGCCAGCCCTGGAATGCAGTCATAGGTGGGGGGCGGTGCCGGCTGGGCAGCCCCTGGATCCTGACTCCTCTGTATGTCACCAGACGTGGGGCAACTGGGGGAGCATCCCCCGTGGAAAGACCCCTGCTTTGCAGCTCCCCCTGGGGGCAGGGATCCCCCCCTCCCTTGGCCCCAAATCTCCAGCGGCTGCTGCTCCCCCAGGCTGGGAACCCTCAGTGACTCTGTCCCCAGTCACAGGCTGGGCGTCCCCTCTGCTGAGTCCCAGGGCTCAGGGTAGGGTTACCATACGTCCGGCTTTCCCCGGACATGTCCGGCATTTTTGGTCCCCAAATCCCCATCC